TTCAGTTCATTTCATACCTACACAGCGCCAGCAGCCTTCTAAGTGGTTGTCTTGACTTTAACCATTCTCCCTCCTCTCCTGCTTGGGTGATTTCTGCATGGCTAGCAAAATGATTTGTCTGAAATGTGAATGGGGTTGCACCAACCTCTTAGCTAAGTCCTTTCTGTGAATCCCAATAACATGCAAGATAAAATTCACATTTATGCTGCTTCTGTGGTCTGCTAGACTTTTGTCCCCTGCTGATCTCTGTGGCCTCATCTCATCACTTCCTTATATTCAGAGCCAAAATGATAAAAATAAAAGTTGGTATTCCCCAGGGTGACTAATAATTTGGTACCAAATCAAGTCAATATTCTTTAGATACTTCTTCAGTTACTTTTTAAAGTGAGACTGGAAAGAAATGAACTGTCTGATAATTTCATTTTCTTTATATTTACAGTATAAAGGATTTATAATGTTAATTTGTTACATATAATTTCCAGATCCTGACAACTTCCCAGGCATAGTGAACCATTTCAAATGTAGTTAAGGGATGAAATGTCTTACTCCTGTTGTAGAAGTAAATTCTGGACTTTTCCCCAGGCAGGGGAAGAACAAGCGGTACTTCAGGAATGGTGAGGTCAGGAGAAGATTTATTACTCATGCATGAGGTCCCAGACCTGGGGAGCCCCATATGGTCTGAGCACCCATTTAAAGACCAAGGGTTCCTTTTATACACAACTGTGTCCGTATCTGTTACGTTGATAAAGTTGTTTTTCAGCAGACACAACCATTTGCGGCAAAGTCCCCAGACAGGGGGGGCATCCCAAGGGGGGGAAAGATGCAGGCATTCGGGGATGGCCTTGGAGAGAGAGACCAGCTTGGCCGGCTGCCCAACCTTGTAGATAAGAGTGCTGAGGGAATCTAGAAAGGGAAGGAGCTGTAAGTAAGCAAACTTGTGGATGATGCCTGCACTGGAGTGTTCATTGCACCTGGGCTGGAAGTTCTGCTGGAATCTTTATTATATTCATTTGCTCAATAATATATTTTCGCTTCACTCCAAATAAGCAATCCCACATGTTGCTGCTGAATTCAGGGGACCTTCTCTGACAGGTCTTGGATTTAGTTGTCACCTGATTGGAGCCTGCAACTTTGCATGTGTGTTGCTGCCAAAACCTGGCAGCAATGAAGGTCAGCGCCACAAGGAACATTTTTTTTTCTACTAATAGTTCTAAATATTTCAGTCAAAGGGAGTCTGATTTCTGTTTTGCCAGTTACAGAATGAATTGTACATAGGAACAAGCACTGATTGGTCCCATTTACTAACCCTTTGTTTTAGCACCTGTAATAGATTAACACCCCGCACAACTGCCTGCCTGCCCTCCCCCAACACAACTCTATCTGCTCGCCTTGCGTAGCCATACCGCGTATCTGCAAGTTGCAACACGCCATACTTTCCTAAATATGCATTTTTTTGGCTGCACTATATTTTCTCTTCCACACCCTTCACTTTCTTTTTGTCCACCAGGTTTCTTTTCCATGTGATATCCTCTGTCAGGCTTTCCCTAATGCCTACCTCAAGTTACCACAGACCAAAAAGTTAGGGTGTTTCATTCCTAGGATTGTCTTTAGTCATTGGGTAAGAAGTGCCCGTTGCCAGAATAGATTATGCAGCTGTTTGGGAGAAAAATAGTTCAATTTTGAATATGCTTAAGGTTTCTATTCTATATATATATATATTTTTTTTTTACATTATTCTTCCTTTTTGTACAGTGTATGCTTTCTCCTCTCAGGTGTAGTCCCTGTAAAATTCCCACAACCAGGTCACCCGTGCACCATCACCACAGACCCTTGTGCTCTTCCCTCCTGTTTTGATCCTTCTCCTTTCCTCTCCCCCCGCAGAGTGTCTCTGATTTATAGTTGCCTGTAAATTTTGTTTTTTAATTTATTATATATTTTTCCTGATCCTTTGTTTGTTTCCCCTATATTACTCCTATAAGTGAAATTTTTTCTTTTTCTTTCTGGCTTATTTCACCGAGCATAATCCCTTCCAGCTCCATTTATGTTGCTGTGAATGGCATGAGTTTATCATTTTTGATTGCTGAGTAATATTCCATGGTGTATATGCACCACATCTTCTTGATCCAGTCATCTATTTTTGGGCATTTGGGTTGTTTCCAAAGCTTACTTACTGTAAATAGTGCTGCAGTAAACAGGGAGCAGGTAGCCTTTTGAATTAATGTTTTTGTGTCCTTTGGGTAGATTCCTCAGAGTGGAATTGCTGGGTGATATGGAAGCTCCATCTTTAGCAGGTTGAGGAACCTCCACACAGCTTTCCATAGTGGTTGGACTAGTTTGCACTCCCAGCAGCAGTGCAGGAGGTGGATTGACTGAAACACACTGCTGAGGGGAGCAGCGGCAAGACAGGAGAGGTCTGCTGCGCCATTTGTTCAATAGATCTGCCTGTTCTTCTCCCCATTCTGTCTCTGGTGAATCCTCTCTCTCTCTGTCTCTCTCTGTCTCTCTCTCTCTCTCACACACACACACACACACACACACACACCACCTCTGGCCTACATCCCAGCTCTTGTCTGCATAAATAAGTAAAATAAATCTTTTTTTTTTTTTTTTTTTAAGTCCCATGTGGAGCACTGCATCTCCAGAGGCATGATGAGGCCAAGTCCCCTGGGAGGTGCCTGCAGGCTAGGTGGGATGTATTTCTCTGTTGAGCTGCTAGGTCCCTCAAGGCGTGTGTCGGAAGATTACCAGGATCGAAAGAGAATAAGGAGCGGAAGAAGGGACGCGATGAGAGGGGGGGTTGTACGGAAAGGTAAAAGGAGTGAAGGCGAGAGAAAAAGAAAGGGATAGATGGCGGAGAGGACAGAGGAGCAGGAAGAGGAGGGGTGTGACAGGAAGAGGAGAGAGAGAAGAGAAGGCAGGGATGGCAATGTGAAAGGGGAGAAGGAAGAACAACAGCAGAGTCAGAAACCAGGACCAGGAAGGCTGGAAAGGCGCACCAAGCCACCGCCCGAGCAGCAGAGACACACACAGACAGCTGCGGGAATTGCTTCTCAGGATGCTGACAGCTCCCTGTGAGCTGGTCGTTGCTGCTTCCGTCTGGTCTGCTGGGCACTCTGGTCTGCTGGGGAGTGCCCGAGGGCTGAGCAGGGTCGTCTTCCCAGGGAAGATAAAACAAGCACGAAAGGGCCCAGAATGAGCTGCAGCTGTGAGCGAGGGGGCTCGGCACACTTTCTGGGCCCGTGAGGTAGTAGGGCGGCTGATGGGGCTCCTGCAGCCCCCGTCACCTGAGGTCTGGGGTACCAAGAGGCCCTGATATAGGTGCCAGCCCCGTGATGTCCTTCCGCTGGTGTGACTGGTGAAATGGTTCCGCCGTTCTCCAGGAGGGGGAAGGGTAAGGAAGCGCCACATCAAAAGGGCTCGCACCGGTGCTGTGTGCCCGTGCCAAGGCCCATTTGCCCACCTGTCATTGCCCAGACTTCTGTGATGTCTCAGGATTCTCCGGGCATCATTGTCTCCAAGCTTTTCCTCCCTCCCTTCTTGGTGAAGTGAGCCAATTCCTACCGTGGTCTCTCTTCCCCGACCATCTTTCCAAATTTCCTGTGTCTGGGCAAATCACTAGTGTTGCCAGGTTTGTCTGATGTGGCTGGGTCCTCCCAGGAAGTCGCCGTTGTTTCTCCAGTTCTGGGCGCCAGGAATTCTGGTGAGGACTGTCTTCCTCGTTTGCAGAGGGCTGCCTGCTCCCTGCATCTGCAGTGTGAGGCTGCTGTTCTTACAGCAAGGGGTGGAATTTATTTCCCCTCCTCTTGAATTTGGGTGGGTCCTGCTGGTCCTCTAAGGAGAAACTGGAACAATACTCACTCTGTCTGCAGTGGTCAGCCTCTGTCTTCAGTCTCCCCTCTCCCCTTACCCTCAGAGTCGTGAGGAGGGCGGTGGGGGAGGACCAGTGTGTGACCCAGCAGCCTGGAAGAGCAAGTTGTCCTTAACTGGAAATCCGGTCTGCCTGAGGATTCTCTGAGGACATCCACGTAGCGCTATCTGGTGTTCAGCCACGTGTGTGTGACAAGGGCTGGGAGACAGCGGTGCATGGTTTCTCCTATTTCTGCATGTCTTATGAGCAAAACATTCTATGTAGAAGTCCTGCATACGTCTGACTGTACACCCGTTTGTTGGTGTAACTGCGTGTGCAGTTTTGAGGCCATTTTTAATTCACGTAAGTTGTATTTCCAAGGCACTGTTTTCATCAGCTGCCTTAACAGTTCATAGTATACACTGAACACCTCGTCTTTCGCCCAAAGTTGGGCACGCAGACTGCCTCCAACTCTGCTACCACCGAGGATAGAATATTGGAATTTTTCATAATGTATCCACTAGTGGCTGCGAGTAATAACTCACTGGGATAGATCCAAGGCGAACAATTGCTGGGTCACAGAACATGCATGTATTTCTTTTGACAAATTAGTGTCAGCACGCTCTCTGGGTTCTAATGTCCCTATTAGTGAAAAACATGTTACAACTCCAGCATCATCTAGCCCGTAAAGAAAATATTTTCTCAGCTATGAAGTCTGCTCCTACAGGTTTCTTAGTCTTAGTTTGGCTCACACTGCTGATCCGTCTTTTCACCAGAGTTTATGTTCATTCCTCTGTCTTTTTGTTCTGAATGGCTCCTGAAGAAAACAGACTGTGTATTTTTAAAAATTATTTTTATTGATGTAACAGTGCATGTAACATTCTAGGCATCAGAGGTTCTCTGAGAATCAGTCAGTGGAGATATTACATTAAGCTCACTCTCAAGTCTGGACATTGCTTTGCCATCTTTACCATGAAATGAATATTCTTTTTTTTTAATTTAAAACAGAATTCACAACTTTATTTAAAATATAAAAACATGCCCTAGAATAGCAGGTCGACAACTTTGTCACTGGATCCACTGCTCTTGACAGTGAGCTCTGCAGAATTTGTATCTGGCTGACAAACACTTTGGAAAACGGTGAGAAACCACTCTAGAAAGTGGGGGCTAAAACAGCACCGTCCTCGGTGGCTAAAACAGCACCCCCATCGGTGGCTAAGACAGCACCCCTGTCACTGGCTAAGACAGCACCTGCGTCGGCGGCGACAACGGCACCGCCGTCGGTGAAGACCCAGGCCATGTTACCTGCGGCCGGGTCACAGGGCAGCCAAGGCTGAAAATACAAAGGCTGAGGTGGAGGCGGTGGAGGTGGAGGAGGAGGTGGTGGAGGAGGCGGAGGCGGCGGCGGCGGCGGCGGCGGAGGAGGAGGCGGCGGAGGAGGTGGAGGTGGAGAGAAAAAAGGAGCCGGGAAGGGCGCCCACGCGGGCTGCACAGGCGGCTGGGGTCTCAGCCACGCCGGCTCTGGGGGCGCCCACATCCAGTTGGGGTCCTGTACAATGATGGTGCTGTTCGGCCCGCCCAAGGTGATGATGGTGGGCTGGTTCAGGATCACCGGGGGCAGGGCTCGGAACATGAGCGCCCGCTGGTGTCTCCTCCACTTGGCCCGCCTGTGCTTGAACCAAACCTGCACTCTGCTCTCCGGCACGCTCATGCGCCGCGCCAGCTGCCGCCGCAGCCGCAGGCTGGGGTACGGCGAGCACAGGAAAATGCCCTCGAGCTCCTGCACCTGCACTGGGGTGAAGGTGGGGCGGGGCGGCGGCCGCCGGGGCGGACCCTCGCCCCCAGCCTCGGGTTGCTCCTCCTCCTCCTCCTCGTCGTCCTCCTCCTCCTCCTCCTGCTGCTCACCTGCTTCTAGGGAATGGGCCCCGAGGTTTCTGTAGTGGTCGGCGGGGCCGGGCGCTCTCGTGCCTCCCTCCTCCCCCTCGCCCCCCTCCTCCCACTCCTCAACCCACTCCTCGTCCTCCACCCACTCCTCTTGCGCCACCTCCTCCACTTCCTCCTCCTCCTCCTCCTCCTCCTGGACTTCCACCGCCTCTGCCTCCACGCCCACCACCTCCAAGGCCTCTTCCACCGCCTCCACCTCCTCGCCAACCACCTCCACTGCCACTGCCTCTTCCACCGCCTCTGCTGCCACTGCCTCTGGCTCCACCGCCTCCGCCTCCACTTTCACTGCCTCCACCTCCACCTCCACTTTCACCACCTCCGCCTCCACTTTCACCACCTCCTCCTCTGCCACCACGGTCTCCACTGCGGCCTCCACTTTCACCACCTCCGCAGCCACCGTCTCCACCGCAGCCTCCACTTTCACCACCTCTGCCTCCACCGCCACGGTCTCCACCGTGGCCTCCACTTTCACCACCTCCGCAGCCACGGTCTCCACTGCGGCCTCCACTTTCACCATCTCTGCCTCCGCAGCCACAGTCTCCACTGTGGCCTCCACTTTCACCACCTCCGCAGCCACGGTCTCCACTGCGGCCTCCACTTTCACCACCTCCTCCTCTGCAGCCACAGTCTCCACTGCGGCCTCCACTTTCACCACCTCCGCCTCTGCAGCCACAGTCTCCACTGTGGCCTCCACTTTTACTGCCTCCACCTCCACTTTCACCACCTCCACCTCCGCAGCCACGGTCTCCACTGCAGCCTCCACTTTCACCACATCCGCCTCCACTTTCACCACCTCCACCTCCGCAGCCACAGTCTCCACTGCGGCCTCCACTTCTACTGCCTCCACCTCCACTTTCACCACCTCCACCTCCGCTGCCACCACCTCCACCTCCACTTCCACTGCCTCCACCACCTGCTCCACTTTTTCCTCTACCTCCTCCTCCTCCTCTTCCTCTGCTACTTTTTCCTGCTCTGCTTTCCACTGGATTCCCTCTGCAAGCAACGTCTCCACACGCTTCTTAGGTGGTTCTTCCTGCTGCTCATCGACTCCTTGGCTGGGGGTGCCAGCGACATCCCTGCTGCTGGGGTGCAGAGGCTCCATGGTCTGACTGCTGCTGAGAGGACTGTGTGACTCCACAGGTTCTGTGCTGGGGTCCTCTGTGATCCTGGGCTCAGGGGTAGAGCATGGAATGAAGATCCTTAAAGCTACAGTGGAACAGGTCAAAAAAGCAGTCAGTAGTGGAAAGAGGATTTAATGCTGAGGTTTAAGTAATGACAGGAACTATACCCTTGACTTTAAAAAGACTCTACACTTAAGGACTCTTGTCTGCCTCGAAAATTCCTATTCATCCATTCTTAGCGTAAGTACTACCATGATGGCCATTGTCACCTATGTAAAAATCTTATTTGTGTTGACAAAGGAAATGTAATCAAAACAAAAGTTATGTGACTTCTACCCACTCATTGTCACCCATAAGTTAAAAATAAGAGGATCATATAGCTCAGAGCACTAAGAGCCACTTTACATTGGCAGTTGTCAACCTGTTCTTCCATTACAGAGGAAGCAAAGCGGAAGTACTCACTCTTGGGGGCACTGACATTGTTGTTCTGCTTCAATCTGGGTAGGAAAATGCTCACCTCTCCCTTAGCTAAACCCCCAAGTATAATTTATAGATACAAGTATCTGCCAGTGAGCTCATACCAATTTTGGAAACACCAGTGTGAGCTTAAACTAACCAGACTTTGTATATAAAAGTCCTGATTATAAACTCTAGGAAAAAGGACACTATTCGCTATCACACACAGCTAAGCATCTACTTTACATGGCCATCTGGTATTTAATTGCTCATCTTGTTGGAGACCTCAGTCTGCATTATCTGCATGTGATTACATAATCAAAGGAAGATAGAGACATGAACTAGCTAGCGAAGGCCTCTTTTAATATTTATATCTAGGTATAATTGAAGATGGTTTGCATTTCTTATAACAACTGCAAAATAAATGTGATCTATACTAACTTATAAGCAAGTAACATTATAGCTCCATCACTAGTCAAAGGGAATACATTAGAATAAAATTTTAATTCAGTTTGTCATAGTAGTTAAAAGGATGAATTCTGAAACCACACTATGTGGACACTGTTCCTTATTAGACATGGGATATCGAACAAATAACCCGTTCTCCTCTGTTACAGAATAAAGATATTCCTGGTCCCTGTCTCACAAAATTATGGGTGGATTTAATATATTTAAAGCACTTAGAATACTACCAGAGAAATAGAAATGCTATGAAACTGCTATAACTTTCTTAGCCACAGAGCTTCACCATACCTTTCATATGCTTATGTTCACTGTGACTCTGTAAGGGACTAGCTGATAAGAACTGGACTAGTATCCTATCTATTCAACACTGTACTATAGTTTCTAGCACTGTAAGATAAGAAAACTCTAAGATATTTCTATAGCCATATTGGCAAAGATTAAAATGAGTTGGCAAGAATATAAGAGAAACATTTTTGAATGCTGTGAGTATAAATTGGCATGATTTTGTAGGAAAATATGACAGTATCTAACTGCATACATTTGATCAATCATGTAAGTACACTAATTTTTTTGCCATATTGTTTGTAATATCAGAAACAGGAAGAATCTTAGATTCCTATTATTCAGTCAATGGAAATAAAGAGGTAGACAGATAGACATCATCATGGAAACATGTCCAAGACCTAGTGCTATGTGAAAGAGCAAGATGCAAAAACAGTAATAGATAATGGCAACATAATCTAAAAGTTTTCATATGTTATATCAATCATACCCCCCACCCCAGAAGACTATACAGAAACACAGTGATAAACTCTGAGGGGTGTCAGAGAGAAGGAAATGCCTGCTACTTTTATTGTCCATTTTAAGCATGTCTCAACTGTCTAACGATACTATAAGTTAAGTGGATTCTTTTCATGGTAAAACAGACTTTTGCTAAACTTTAATTAAAATGGGTTCCCACTGTTAAGCATTTTTTCTTAGCTTGACATGTGTTAAATTATCTTAAATAAATTTAAAAAATGACAGACTTCTCTCCAGCCAAGTTGCTGACCCACATGGCACTGCAGACCTCTGCCGTCTCGCCCGCTGCTCCCCTCAGCAGTGGATTTCAGTCAGTCTGCCTGTTCTCTTCCCTACTCAGTCTCTGGTGAAGCCTCTCACCCCCTGCATTCTGGCCAGCTCTTGTGTGCATAAATGAATGTTAAAAAAAAAATGACAGGGTAGTATGTCTGTTTAGTTCTTAATCATCATACTAAAGTTTTCATGTTTATCTTATAGTCCTACTGATTATATATTTCACCAGAGACAAATAACAGGTTTCAGTCTTCTGAATATTTGAATAAGTTGTGTTCTCTTCCTATATCCCCCTCCCAGGACAATGAAGAACCACACTCGAGGCTTTTTGCAGTCACCAAGGAATTTCCCCAGCAATGGAGCTCTGGGCGTGATTTGGACTTTAAGAAGCCCCATTTCTGATACCTTTAGTGTTGTAAGAAAAATATAACCTTAATTGAAAAAATAAACTTGCCCTACTAGGTATCCAAGTCTTGTTTTAAATCCCGGGGGTTATGTGTTCATTTCAGAAAATGCATTACTCAGCCTTAGGTTTTTTTCAGTGTAGATGTAGAGAAGGCAAGCATTTGCTTGCTGAAAGTTGTTCTGGGTGTATCCAGAAACTACAGTCTAAAACTGGAGGGCAGGAGGGAGAGTACTCAACTTCGTACTAAAAGTTCTCTCCAGTGCAACATGAGGAAAAACAAAGGTCTCCAGATTAGAAAGGGAGTGATGTGAAACTAACTACACTCAGACTCCAAGACAGTGTATGTAGAATACTCTATCAAGCTAAGAAAAAATGGGGCTTTAAGAACTAACAAAGCTTAGCAAGGTTGCAGTACACACAATGTACATATAGATGTCAACTGCGTTTTTACATAGTAGCAATGAACAGCTGGAAACTTAAAAGGAGCACAATTTTAAAATACATCTGATAAGTCAGAAAATATAAAATACATATGGATATCTCTGATGAAAGATGTAGAAAACTGTACACTGAAAATCAAAAATCATTGCAGATTAAACTATTCAAGAATAACTTGAGGGAAAAACACCTTATCTATAGACAAAGATGCTTTAGTGGAATGAACTATGATTCCCCCCCAAGATATGTGTAAGTTCTAACCCCCTAGAACTTGTACATGTGACTTTATGGGAGGGGGGATTCTTTGCAAATGTAATTAAAGAATCTTGAGATGAGATCATCCTGGGTTAGCTCCCAATTCAATTACAATTATCCTTATAAGAACAAGAAAAGATACAGAATACATAAAGGAGAGACACAGGGGAGAAAGTCTGGAGAGATGGAGGCAGAGATTAGAGTAACAAACCAAACAATACCTGGAGCCACCAGATGCTGGAAAATGCAGGAAGGATTCTCTTTTAGGGCCTTGGGCTACTGCGTGTTCCTGTTGACACGGTGATTTCAGACTTCAGGTCTCTAGAGCTGTGAAAGAATAAATTTCTGTTTAAAGGCACCCAGTCTGTGCTAATTTGCTATGTTAGTCCTAGGAAACAAACACACAGACAATTTACTATGGACCTCTCATCATAAATCATGCAGAAAAAACATGAAATAGTTAAAGTGTTGAGAGGAAAAAAAAAAAAAAAACCTGCCCAGATGTATAAAATTGTTCTTCAAAAGTAAAGAGAAAATAGTCTTCTTCAGACAAATGTTTTAAAACTGAGGGAACTCATTGCATCTTTAAAGAAACCTTAAAAAGAAGTGCTTTAAGGAGAAGGGAAAATACATAGGTCAAAATCTTGGATCTACATGAAGACAAGAAGAGCATTAAAAAGGGGGAAAATGAAGGTGAAACACATTTATTTGTCCTATTCTTAAGTGACCTGGTAACTGCCCAGTGACATTGGGCGCCTACAGCCATGAAGGACAGCCATGTCAGAGGGGGTCGGGGGGAGGGTCTGGGACTGCTCCCTAATAAAACACACACACCTGTGAAGCAGTGTCATGTTATTTGAAGGGGGGCTTACATTAATTTAAAATGTATGTTGTAAACTACTTAACCATTAAATAAAAATTATATTTCTAAAGTCAGACAAAGGATACAAATGTCCGCTTATAAGATGAATACATTCTGGGCAAGTAATGCACAGCAAGGTGACTCCAGTTAACAACACTGTACTATATAACTGAAAGTTGATGAGAGTAGGTTTTAAAAGTTCTCACCACAACAAGAAAAGGTTGTCCTCTCTAACCACTGCTCTTCAGTATAATACTGGAGGGCCTAGCCAGGGCAATAAAACAAGAGAAAGACATACAAGGAATCCAAATAGGAAGTAGTAAAACTATCACTATTTGCAGACAATATCATAATATACATAGAGAACCCTAAAAACTCCACAGAAAAACTACTCAAAATAATCAACCAGTTCAGTAAAGTAGCAGGATACAAAATCAACACACAAAAATCAGTAGCCTTCCCATACACAATCAAGTGGAAGAAGACAAAATAAAAAAAAATCCCTTTTATAATTGAAAACAAAATAATCAAATACTTGGGAATAAACCTAACAAAAGAGGTGAAAGGCCTATACAAAGAAAATTATAAAACAGTGTTAAAAGAAATTAAAGAAGACACAAAGAAATGGAAAGACATCCCCTGCTCATGGATTGGAAGAATCAACATTATTAAAATGGCCATCCTTCCAAAAGCAATATACAGATTCAATGCTATTCCAATAACAATCCAATGACATTCTTCAAAGAAATAGAACAAATACTGATGAAATTCATATGGAACCACAAAAAAACATGAAAAAGAAGTATATTTTATATTCTAAGACAGGAGATGAAATGGAATCACATTAAATACTAAATCAGAGAAGGGGCCTCCCTGGTGGCGCAGGAGTTAAGACGCAGCACTATGAGGCTATCCGCAGCCACTGCAGCACGATTTCCATTCCCGGACAGGAAGGTGACCCACACGGCACAACAGATCTCTCCTGCCTTGCTCACTGCTCCCCTCAGCAGTGTATTTCAGTACATCTGCCTGTTCTGCTCCCCACTCTGTCTCTGGTGAATACTCTCACCCCCCACATCTCTGGCATATACCCCAGCTCTTGTATGCATAAATAAATAAATCTTTAAAAGAAATAAAATCATAGAAAGCAGAAAAAAAGAATAAATGAAACAGAACACTTACAAATCTGGCATATATTAATCTAACCACATCAATAGCTACTTTAAATGTGAATGATCTCTATATACAAGTTAAAAGACACACAGTGATAAAAACAATATCCAATAATGGTTAGTATTTCCTCTACATTTTAAATGTAAGACTTGGGTTAAAAGTAAAGGGATGGGAAAAAGTATACCATAATAACAATAACCAAAATAAAGCTATTATATTAAGTTCACAGAAGCAGACTTTAGAACAAAGGAAGCCATCAGGGATACAGAGGAACCTTATATAATGGAAAAGGAGTCAATTCTCCAAGAAGATATAGGAATAGTAAATGCACACGCAACTAAAAACAAAGTGTCAGAATATGTGAAGCAAAATCTGATATAGATGAAAGGAGAAGCAGATAAATATACTATTATATTTTGATACCACTCGGTCAGAACTGCTAGATCAAATGGAGGAAATCAGTAGGGATGCAGGTGACTCGAACGGCCCTATCAATCGACTTGATTTACTTGACAATTAGAAAATACTCCATCCAACAACAAGGGAATGTATATTATTTTTAAGTCACATAAAACATCAATATAGAACAAATTCAGGGTCATTTAACACACCTTAAAAAACTTAAAAGAATAGGAATCAAACAAGGTATGCTCACAAATCACAATGAAATTAAACTGGAAATGATTATGTAATGATTAAGAAAGTAGAATGTCCCCAAATATATGGAAATTAAACAACATGCTTCTAAAATGCTCATGGATCAAAGAAGACTCCCAAAGTGAGATTGAAAATATATTTTGAGGGCCTCCCTGGTGGCACAAGGGGTTGAGTACAGCACCGTGAAGCTATCCACAGCCTCTGCAGCAAGAGTTCGATCCCCAGCCGGTGAGGGAGATACCCACATGGCCCAGCAGACCTCTCCTGTCTTGCCCACTGCTCCCCTCAGCAGTGTGTTTCAGTCATTCTGCCTGTCTGTTCCCCACTCTCTCTTGTGAATCCTCTCACCCCCACCACACCTCCCCCCCACCTCTGGCCTGTATCCCAGTCCTTCTATGTATATATTAATAAATAAATCTTTTTTAAAAAGTATATTTTGACCTAATTGAAAATGAAAGTACAAGAAAATGAAACCTAAACATTTAAAGAAAGGGGGGAGGGGGAATTAGAATTAAAATCAATGAAATTGAAAACAATAAAGAAAATCATGAAACCCAAACCTGGTTCTTTTGTGAGATCAATAAAATTAATAAACTTCTAGTCAGGCTGACCAGGAAGACAGAAGACAGAATTACCAATATCATAAATGAAATAGGGATTATCATTACGGCCCCCGTGGATATAAAAAGGATAATGAACGACATGTACAACTTTATGGTCAAATTTGATAACTCTGATATAACAGATCAATTACTTGAAAGACACAAACTTTGGCCTCTGCTCTGAAATTAAGGCAGGATGTCTCCAGTCTGTGCTAATAACCTGAAGCCACTGTATTGGGAAGACTGATCTTTTTTTAATTTGTTATTTTCACAGAACGAATGTAAAATAATGGAGTAGAAACAATAGCAAGTATCAGTGAATTACACAGGGTTAGGGTAAATAGTCTTTCATTAAAATAGAAAAATTTTAAAGATATACATATGTTCAATATAAACGCTTGGTAGTGTTGTATATTTCACACCACAAATGAGAGCTTAAAAGCTGAAAATCGGGCCTCCCCGGTGGCGCAGCGGTTGAGCACTGGGTTGCGAAGCTGCCCGCAGCCTCTGTGGCGCCGGTTCGATCCCCGGCTGCTCCCCGGCCACTGGAGGAGGGTCCCACATGGCGCGCAGACCTCTCCTGCCGCCCGCTGCTCCCCTCAGCAGTGTACTTCGGTCCTTCTGCCTGCTCTGCTCCCCGCTCTGGCTCTGGTGAATTCTCTCACCCTCCCGCGCTTCTGACTGTACCCAGTGCATGTATAAACAAAACAAACAAACAAATAAATAAATAAATAAAGCATGCCTCTATAAAAAAAAAAAAATAAAAAAAAAATAAAAGCTGAAAATCACTGCAATAACTTCAAAAGAGCAGGGACTCTCAAAATCACACGACTCAGCCTCTTCCAGGTAGAAAATAAATCTTTCCAAAGGTCTAAGCCTACCTGGTGATGAGACCCCAAAACATTCTCTGTAAGAGTCGTAGCTCAGCAAATGCTTAGAGCTGACACAGAGGGAGCAACGGCCCAGGAAGCACTGAATCATGGAACCAGGACCCAACATGAGGACCCTCAGGAGCAAAGGCCCAGCCTCCACTCCAGCCCTGATGAAAGACCAGGGGGACCCCCAAATCAAGCTGTTAGGCTAGGAATACCCCTTATTTCCAATTCTAGGGTTTCCACAAAGTAAGGGCCTTTGTTTGAGGTGGATGGTCAACTCAATGCCAGGAGTCAAAATAACCATCCTGAGGGACGACTTCAAAAACTTCTAACACACACAGATGCGCAGAAAACAAACAAACAAAAAAAAAGCTTTCCAGGCCCATCCAGGGGTCAAAATAACTATCCTGAGGGACAACTTCAAAAACTTCTTACACACACACAGAGAAAAAAATGAAAAAACCGCTTTCTGGGCCCATCTAGGAGTCAAAATAACCATCCTGAGGGACAACTTCAAAAACTTTTTACACACACACACACACACACACACACGCACACGGAAAAAACCGCTTTCCCGGCCCATCCAGGAGTCAAAATATTCATCCTGAGGGACGACTTCAAAAACTTCTTACACACACACAGAAAAAAACAAACAAACAACAAAAACGCTTTCCCGGCCCATCCAACCCCGACTGAGCCTTAGGAGACCTCAAGCCAGGCCAGCCAGATGCGCCAGGAGAGAGGGTACATTTTTAGAGAGGGGATCTAAGGGTGCAGGCCGGCAGTGGAGAAGTACCAGGCCCCACTGTCTGAGGAAGCACTTAATGGATGGCGGGATTCACCACTCACTTGAAGGAGCCCACAGAAACAGACTCCAGCTTTCCACTTGAGGTGCCACTCCCTTACCTCTGCTTCTCTGGGATGGGTGTCTCAGGAAAACAGGGGCCTTCTGAAGGCCGGAAGAGCTTGGAGGTGGGGGGGCTGGACCTCTGAACATTTCGTGGGCAGAAGCAGGCAACCCCTCTCCCAGAACACAAAGAGGTCAGGGGGCAGAAAAGAAACCTACCCGCCCTTGTGTGGCCCGGTGGTCTTTGTGCAGGCCCCTCGGCTGAGAGGGGGCCGGGGAGGGGGCCCGGCCCGGCACGGCCCCACGTCGATGTGAGGACCGTGCGGTGTTCGGCCACAGCGGGCCTGTCCCCTCAGCCCGGGCTAGTCACCCGGCGAAACCGCTTTGTGGAGTGCCCGGATGTGCAAGTACCCGGATGTGCGTGTGCGACGTCTGCCTGACGACACTAAGGGCGACGTCTTTGCCTCAGAAGGGGACCCTGGGTGCAGGTTTAGCCGACACAGAAGGGTCTCTGGCTCTGTCGGGCTCTAAGGTGAGACTGCAGAGGGAGAAAGGAGGGCGAGAGCTCTCGGCCCCCACAGAACAGGCCCTGAGGCCTGTTTGGCCCCTGCAGCTGTCCCACAAAGCCCCTGGTAGAGTGCCCGGATGAGGCCTGTTCCGCCCACCATCTTGGATGTTGGAGGCACTTGAGTCTGTGGGTGGGGTGTGTACTGAGGGCCGAGGCTAACGGAGTCCTGCGCTCCGCAGACTAAAGGTCAGGGGCCTGAGGGAGAAGGGGGAGGCAGCCCACTTAAGTTCTTTGCCCTCTGTACAGAGGGAGCTCCAGCAGAGATGGTGGGTTGGAGTGGCGCCGAACTTCCCTTTTGGGAATCTGAGGGAGGTGAAGCTTGTGTGAGGGGCGGCAGTAGGCGTCCTAGAGGTTGCCTGGAGAAGTGTGAGGAAAGAGATCTCCCATGGCTGGGGGCGGGTGGGGGGGTGCAGCCCTACGTTGTGTTTGTTCTTAAGTCAGGAGAGCCCCAGGCAAGCTTCCCTAAAACACTGTACCTGACTTATGTCATGGGCATCTGAGGGCCCCTCGCCCCCTCCCCTGCCTCTTTCCTTGGCCTCCTGCCATGCCTCCTCTTCACCAACGGCGCCCCTCCCACCCCTCACCAAACCTTGCCACCTCCTTTTCCCTCCTGTCAGAAGTAAATATGAATTCCTTGGGAAGGACCGAGGGTATGGCTCACCATAGAACCCAGAGGAATCTGCACATAAGTTCACCTTGCCCCTTCTGCTGTGCCCCAGTTTTTTCCCCCAATTCCAGGTTCGGGGGTCTCAGGAAAGCACGCATGGGCACTCCGCAAAGCGGTTTCACCGGGTGACTGGCCCGGGGCTGAGGGGGCAGGCCCACTGCGGCCGCACAGTCCTCATATGGACTTGGGGCGGGGTCGGGCCCCCTCAGCAGAGGGACCTGCGCAAACACCACCGAGCCATACAAGGGCGGGTAGGTTTCTTGATCTGAAGTGCCCAACCTCTGTGATCAGAAGGAAGAATCCCCCTCCCTGCCATGACATCAGGGCTGAGAGGACAGAGAAACCTGTCCTCTGAGAGGCCCCAGGCAGGGCTGTCAGACATGCCCCTCCACCCTCCTCTCTTGCTTATCTACTGTCTCTGGGAGATGGGGGACTTTGCTGGAGGAAGACATTTCCAAGTCAGCAAAATGGAGGCCTTTCAGGCTCTGTATCAAAAATAAAGAGGAATATCATGAGGACTGAAAGTTACCTTCAAGATGGAAAACAGAGCTATCATGTAGCTCTCCCTCTGCCCCTGCTGACAGCCCTAGCAGACCCTGTGCAGGCCTGTCAGGCTGAGGCTTAGCCTCATTCTCTTCTTGGGGCTCTTAGTGAGGTGGCAGTCTTAGTCTAAGGGGTTCAACCTTAGGTCAGCAGAGGGAGACAGCCCCAGCCCTGCCTGGAGTTAAGGTGAGGACTCTGAGGTAGGACCTTCAGCTGTAGATAGGGGGGACTGCAGCTGTCTCCTGCTGGGAGCCCTGAAAGACTGCATCCTCTTCCACTGCCCTGCTCTGCCCTTTTTCCTTGCCTGGCATCTCTGGGAGGCAGAGCACTGGCCTGAGGGGCAACAGAAGGCAAAGAACACAGACTCTGTCAAGAGTAAAAATGAATAAGCTTCCAGATAGATCAGGGTACCTCCCACTCCAGACAAAGAGATTTCCCACAAAAACCTGCACCACCCTGTCGTCAGGCCTGGTAGGCTCACAAGGCTGTCTGATTTGTCCCTCATATCCAACTGGCATGGGGTGGGAGCGGGGTCTCAGGGAACTGAACAACTTTGAGAAAGCCAGATTCAGGTCACGAGACAGACGAGTCCCTGCTGGGCATTGGGGCGAGTACTATGACGGATGCCTAAGTGTATCCACCACCCCAGAACATACTGGGCCCAGTCCCTGCTCGTTTCTGGGTGGCTTGAGCAGAGGTGGCTGAATAGGGCACCTCACTCTTGTCTCACTGATATCAGGGATACAAAGGCCTTGGTCTGATGGGGCAGCTTCACATCAGCAGAGTTGGGGGGTAGTCAGGCCAGGAAAGAGCCCGAGGCTCTGCCAAGAGTTAAAGGATGGACAGTGGTTATAATTGAGGGCACCCCCTCCACCCTACTCCTGCCCCCGGGAAGCCCTCGTACATGGTGTGTGGATGTGGTTCACCTTCATTCCCACCTGGTTTTCTTCGAGGACTGTACTTAGGACAAAGGAAGGGTGAGTCTGAGGCTCTGCCGAAGGTTAACTGGAGGATAGAGGATTGAGCAGACCCCCGCATCCCACCACACACACACACACATACACTCAAGAACAAATGCAACCCAGCATCTCCTTGTCCCTGCCGTCAGCCACGATAGGACTGAGGGCGTGTTGTTTGAGTGTTGCATCTTCTCACTTCTTCCTCTACTGTCTGGGGGAAGTAAGGGCTTGGTGTAAGGAGGGGTGTCAACAGAGAGGGGCTTCTTGGGTCCTGCCAGACATCAGGGTAAGGACTGAGATGATCCCCTCGACCCACAGAGTTCATTCAGCTCTCACTGTCAGAGGGGGCCTGAGCAGGTGTAGCCAAATGTGGTACCCCCCTCACTTCCTCCTCTTGATCTCAGGAACATGAGCTCTTGTCCAGAGAGTTCTGTCCCAGGTCAGCTCAGGGGTGATATGCTAGTAGAAAGGTGAGGATGCTGTGCATTGAGAGGACCATCCTCCCCAGAAAAATGGGGACATGTGAAAGTCTAGCTCTTCCCCTCATGTCAGCACTGGGACCCCCAGGATTGTGACTGCAGTCTGCAGCCTGTGGTGTCCCCTCAACTTCTCTTCTAGGGGATCAAGTAACTGGGGCTGAAGGCCTTTGGTCTGAAGCATGTGTTCTCAGATCAACAGAGCAGAGGAAGCCAAGGCAATGCCAAGAGTCAAGCTAGGGGCCCCAAATATCTACCTAGGGCCCCCACCAACTTCACACCCTACTGTCTTAACCTGAAATCTGCAGGCTATGCTGGTTGGCTACATACTGAGGAGCTTTTCTCGGGCTCTTAGAGACAGGCCAATCAGAAAGACAGGAGATTCTAGAACCCTAGCGAAGGGAACACCTATTAAAATGAGCTTTGTCAGAGCTGACAAGGTTGAGCTTCTCACACTCTTCCTCTCTCCCTCAGGCCAATTTCATCACCCATCTCCTGCCCACTCTTCTGCCGGCTGCCCCAAACACCAGTTGCCATGCATCATAGTCAGAGTCAGTGCCCCAAGCCTGAAGGAGGCTTTCAGGCCCAAAGAGAGCAACAGGGCCTAGTGGGTACACAGGTTCCTGTAGCTGAGAAGGAGGCAGCTGCCTCCTCTGCCTCTCCTGTAGTCCAAGGCACCCCTGAGGTGGTTCCTGCTGCTGGGATACCAAGTGCTCCCCAGAGTTCTCAGAGCGCCCACTCCTCTTCCTTGGCTGTCAAAGCCACTCTGCCTAGCAAACCAAAAAGCTCCAGCAGCCTAGAGGGTCCAGGTGCCTTACAGGTCCCTCCACAACCTGAGTTCGTGCTCAGTGATGTGCTAGACAAGAAGGTGGCTGAATTGGTGCAGTTCCTGAGCATCAAGTATGTAACCAAGGAGCCCATCACACAGACGGAAATGCTGAAGCTTATCACCAAGGAGCACGAGATCCACTTCCCTCTGATCTTCCAGAAAGTCTGCGAGTGCATGGAGGTGGTCTTTGGCATTGAAGTGAAGGAAGTGGATGCCACCAGCCACTCCTACGTGCTTGTCAAGATCCTAGAGCTCACCTACGATGGGGTGCTGTGTGGTGGCTCGAGCATGCCCAAGACGGGCCTCCTGAGTCTCATCCTGGGTGTGATCTTCATGGAAGGCAACCGTGCCCCTGAGGAGAAGATCTGGAAAGCGCTGAATACGATCGGGGTATATTCTGGGAAGAAAGATTTCATCTATGGGGAGCCCAGGAAGCTCATCACCAAAGATCTGGTGCAGGAAAAGTACCTGGAGTACCAGCAGGTGCCTCACAGCGATCCTCCACGCTACGAATTCCTGTGGGGTCCCCGGGCCCACGCTGAAACCAGCAAGATGAAAGTCCTGCAGTTTTTTGCCAAGATCACTGGGACTGACCCCACAGCCTTCCCATCGCGGTACAAGGAGGCGCTGAGAGATGAGGAAGAGCGAGCCCAGGCCCGGATCGCCACTGCGGGGGAGACCGCTACCGCGGCCGGCGGCGTGTCCAGCACCTTCTCCTGCCCTGATGACCCGGAGCCTGAGGAAGAGTCTTCACTCTCTGCTTGAAGAGGGCAGGCGGGGTTCTGGGTGGTGGAGGCCTGCCTTGTAGTCTTTATCTCTTGTTCTTCCTTTGGTGTTTTCAAATGTTCTTCCTCCAGAAAGGTTGGCCGGCTTCAGCATGTAGCTTCTGTGCGGCGTGGGTCAGGGAGGAAAAGCAAGAGCAGGAATTCTGCTCTTCTGTAGCAAGTCGGGAAACCTTCCCTCTTTGGGGATGCGGAGCAGGATAACTTAGCCATGGAATAAGAATTTTTTAGAAATGTTAAGGAGCCTGAGAGATGGGACCCAGAAACAGGGAAAAATGTCAGAGATGGTCCATCCTGGGATTCCTGTATCCCATTTAGTCTGCTGTTTTGTAAAGTTAAAAATACACGCCTGAGGGGCAAGCGCCGTGGGGAGCTGGTCCAGTGGACTGTGCCGGAGGGTGATGGGCACCATGTGGTAACCTACATGGGAAAAGGTGTGACCCGCACCCCTAAGTCATACGGTGTTATAAACAAATGTTACCTCAATAAAAATAGTTTCAAAAACTGTGTGCCTGAGTTCGCATGGCTAATTAAAGCGTGTGTGAGAAACGCTCAGTGAATGAGATCTTGGGCTCACTGGCTCATGTATTCCCCAAACATCCTTTGAGGGTCTGCTCGTCCAAAGGTTCTAAGTGAATAATGGGGATTCTAGGATAAGCGAGACACAACCCCCCAAACCAAAGAAGGCCGGCCGGGGGCGTGGGGTGCAGCCGGCCTGCTGGGAAGGCGGCAAGAACAAGAGACAGCAGCGGTGCGGAGGCGGGGCTCCAGGGAAGGGGCCTCTCCAGAAGCCGGGTCTCGGCAGTTCGGGCTTTGGGGACCCGCAATTCCTTCTGGGGCAGTGGGTTACAGCGAGCGGGCGGGGCTGACGCTCGGTCAGTGTGTTTTGGAGGACAGAGAAGGCCTGGTGCGGAAAAGTGCTCAGTGGCTCCCTCTGGATGGTGGCTAAGCCCGAGAGAAGGCCCACCCGGGGCGGGGAAGCAGGGCGTCCTGACAGCGGAGCGCGGTGCGCGGACTAGGTGTTCTGTCCACCTCTGCAAGGGTGTCCTGAGAATGGGGCGATCGTTCCTTGAGGTGGTACCCAGAAACTGACACTTTTCCCCTGGCCTGGGGGAGACAGAGCTGGCTGTATTGAAAGGACACTTTAATTAAGCTTAATTTTGAGTGTAATTTAACCAACTGTAAGCAAGGGCTAGACTTTCGGTGGGGATAAAATAGTGGTTCAGATGGAAGAGCACCTGGCAGGGAGGGAAATTAATCTTTGATCCCAAGTTCTAGGAGTTTTGAATTGCATCCAGCTAGGGCAGTACCCATACACCCAAATTAAATAATACAATTCATAAATAATAATAAATTTACTGAGTTTTAATTGCAAACCAGTTAGGGTTCACTTGGAGTGCTGCGTGTTTTCTGAGATGACATGGAACACACACACATGTGCACACACACAGGAAAAAGTGACAGAATCTGGCATCAAGACGTTCTTTGTTAAAGATCCGATAAATGCCAGGTACTCTACCAGGTACTTACATTTCATATATTCCAGAAATTCTACAAGTCAGGGATTATCAAACCCACCTCACAGATGAAGAACCTGAGACTTAGCACTTGGCAGTGTGCCCAAGACCAGGTGTCAAATAAGTGACAGGACGAGGACGAGCTCCTGGGTCTGCATGTCTGAACTGATCAAGGCCCAGGCTGCTCCTGCGATTCTCAGCCTGAGACATTTCTCTGCCCAGTACCCTATAATGTCTTCCTGGCAGCATAAAGATCTCTGTGGCTCTGCTACTAAAATCAGGCCTTATAAGAGAGGGTGACAATGTGAAGCAAACACGAGTTGGGAATTTCTGAGGGCTTCATCACCTAGGATCCTGGTCCCCAGGTCTCAGGGTCCTTGAGCACTGACTGCCCCGGTACTGGCCTTTTTGTCAGGCCACAGCACTTTCCTGCATGACAGCATCTTCCCCTGGGTTTGGCTCTGGAACCTGGCCTGACCTGCTCACCATGTCTCTTCCTCTGAAGTCTGTGCCCTGTTCCTGGTGAAACAGCCCCAATCACCTGCCTCCCCCTAACTTAGAGCATCCCTATCCACAGCAGAAGCCCCCAGGCAATCCGACTCCTCATTCTGGAACCCTGAAAGTAACAGTGCACTTTGGAGGATGTTTACACACCTATGTGTCTTCAACCCATGCTCAGATTGTTTTTCATATAAGCTGGTGAGTAAAGTCTGACTGGTACATAATCTACTGCTTCTCAGGATAGACCCTGAAGTTAGGGTTTTTGAAACCACCCTGGTTCTAGAAGGTGCATTATTTGAAACAGGCCACTGACCACAGAATAAGCTTACCTAGTGGTCAAAAATTAAAGCCACCTTTGTAAGCAATGGATGAGGAAGCACCATAGAAATTACCATGCAATCAAACACCTATAGGCGTTTGTCCCTAAAACTCTGGTGTCCTGGAGGGTGAACAAATGGTTCTGTGGTAGAGCTTTGCTCTGATCAGAAAAGACAAGAACAGTCAACCGTCCTTCCACTGCCTGCGTACATTTGCCCCTCCAGGGAAATCCTGATGTGAAGGGGGCCTAATGACACCTATACAGCATCTTGTGGACGGTAGCAGAGACTCACCAACTGAGATTTTCAACATATATCCTGAGACAGGAGAAAATTCTCAGGCTACTGAGATTGAGGTTATCGCAAAGGGCAGTGCAGAATCCCCTGCTAACATTTATAGGATTCTTTGAGAACTAGACGTGACCCTCTATTTGAAAGCCCCCACCACATAGAGGGCTCTGGAAAAGTTGGTGAATTTCCAGGCCAATCTGTCTCCTCAGAAACTCCTCCAAGAAAATGTAACAAATCATAATGGTTGCTTTTATTGAACTGGGGGACTTAGGGGGAGACTACAAGTGCCTGTCTTGTCTTCCTCTCCTTGCTGGGTGGCTCAGTAGTAATTGGACAGGAGCCAGCACATCATTTCCATGCATCCCTGCTTTTAGCAGCAAATGTTCGGATCCCCTATAGGGATGGTGGAGCTACAAGATGGAAGCAGCTTGGATCCTGGGGTCACTTGAGAAAGGAGAATCCCTATAACCCACCTTGAAATTTATACACACACACACACACACACACACAAATAAACAACAGTTGTGTTAAGCCATTCAAATTTCAAGATTTGTTGCATAAACTAGCAGTTACTCTAATGAACTCAGCTCTGATTTCTGTTGGAAGGCTTATTTAAATATTTGGTGGTGAGTGTGGTGTGAGACATACATTTGCAGAGATGTAGCCCTATACCCCTAAACATACACAATGTGGTACATCAACATAACCTCAAAAGACATCATTAAAAATAAATATTCTAATTACAGAGATAATTGTGTCTATAGCCTCATTGCAAAATATTCTGAAAATATAGGACAATCACAATTCTCCCCTTTACAAAGTACCCCCCCAAATTCATCCAGCTCCTTAGAGGTGGATGATAATATATATTATGTTGAATAATGTATATTATGTTGATAATGTATATTATGTTGATAATGTGTGTTATGTTGAAGCTGTTGCTGGGGTTTATGTTCATAGATTTGCTCTGAAAATATGTTTTTTCAACATACGTAGGTCGTGAAGTACATACCCATTTGACACTTGCCTTTGGCACTTAATAAAGTGGATGGAGATCTTTCTGTGACAGCATCTATAGATCTGTCTTGCTTTAGTAATTACTCTCTAGAGTTCTCAAGTATGTCTGTGTTCATAATTAATTAAACACTTCTGATAAACACATAAGTTGTTTTCCCTTTTTGTGTGATTAATGAAACTTAAATCAACATCTCTGAACATGAACTCTCAGCAAACGTGTGGTTTTCTCATAAGAAAGACATTTGAATGTGGAAACTGGATTTAAGAAGAAAGGGTATGACTATTTTGTATTTGTAAATATTGCTGAAACCTTATTCCAAAGATGCTGTAGCAATTTATTTTTCCATAATGTATTTTAATACCCTATATGCTCAGAGCTATTATATATTATCAGTCTTTCAAATTTGGGGGGAATATGGGTGGGAAAATATCATCTCACAATTGTTTCATTTGTGTCTCCCATTTTCAGCAGAAAATAATCCCTCATCCATGTAAAGCTGGGTTGATGCACTGATGTTCTGAGTAAAGGGATCCTCTGGGCATGATTTAAAATTCTGAGATGTCCACAGGACATCTCTCGTTACTTTGAAAATCAAGGATTTGGTGAGAATGACCAGGATCCAGGGCAGGAGACCAGACCAGACATCCTCAGCCCGGGCCTCTGAGAGCATCCTGAGGAGAGCAGCTGCCAGGGTCCAGGAGCAGGGCCACACCCAAGAACCATCCCAGAGAATCGCAGCCAGTCAGAGCTCTAAGTCTAGATTTCAATATAGTGAGAAGGGTTCAGAAGGAGCTTGGGGTGGAGGTGACCAGAAAAACAGTCTCAGAGTTTCCCCTGGGATTTCTGAACCTGCCTGAGTAGCTGTGGCACTTTGAGTTTTGTTAATTTTTTTCATTGAGGCAAAAGGCCCAGACATGATGTAGACATCACGTTGTTTTTTTTTTGTTTGTTTTTGTTTTTTCAAATAATAAATTGTATTTTTATATTCCCCATACAATTGCAACCCCCCCATTCTGACCCCAATCCCTCCCCTCCCGCCCCTCACCCCCAAAAAGTGTCTCTGGTTCATAGTTTTTTGTTGATGTTGATTTTCACTTTCTTATAGTTATTCATTTTCCTGGTCCCTTATTTAAGTTTTCTAGATTCCTGCTATGAGTGAGACCATCCGGTATTTTTCTTTTTCTTTCTGGATTATTTCGCTGAGCATGATCCCTTCCAGCGTCATCCATGTTGCTGCAAATTGCATGTGTTTATCTTTTTTGAATGCTGAGTAATATTCCATGGTATATATGTACCGCATCTTCTTGATCCAGTCATCTATTTTTGGGCATTTGGGCTGTTTCCAAAGCTTAGCTATTGTAAATAGTGCTGCACGTTTTAAAACAGCAAATATGACCCTCTGGTACTTAGATCCATTCATTCTTTCCTTCGTCTGCCCAGCAACACCTACTGCACACATACTCAAGAAAAACAAACATAAATGAAAAAGCACTGAATTCAGGCTGGAGATGAGGTTAGGCTGCATACAAGGCCATTTAAGGCCATACGTTTAGATAAAATTGAGGTCTCTATAGATAGCAACCATCACCTCCCTGCAAACATAGTCAGCAACCAAAATTACACAAAAAATTAAAGGGAGAAGGTACTCATCCAGAAAAGTCCATCAGCGAAAAATCTTCTGTGTGAATTATATACATATATATATATAGATAGATAGATATAGAGATATAAATAGACATAGATATATTTATATCTATACAGGCCCATGCCTGCGTGTGTGCATTCATATTATAAATACAGTGATATATTATAAATAAAGCTATATATTATA